CCTTTAATCCTTTTCCACAAGTTATTTTCTCCATTTCTTTGTTTGTATTGCTTTTCTCTGAAGTGTCCTGAAAGGTATATAATACTTTAGAGGTCACAGATCCTACTGGAAGAGGAGAATTAATGTAAGGAGTATATCATAGCATCTTCTTTGTGAATTGTTTCATTACTTTGGCTGTTCTGCTTTTCTGTGACATGAGTAACTTGGATCTAATTTTTTTCTTGCTCCCTTTTCTCTGTGCTGCTTTTATTATGTCTTTTATTATTAATAGTTTGAATTTTCATTTTTATTATTTTTAATTGCACTTTTGATATTTCAACTCAGACCCACTTGTCTTATTTTTCTTGTTGGATTTCAGTAATATTAGTTTATATCATGAATATATCAAACCTTTTTATTTTTTTCCTTTAGATTTTTATTAAAGCTTGAAAAAGTTAAGTAGGCTACAAACTAGTGTCTTTGTAAAGCCCATTTAGTTCACAAATTGAGTTTTGAGGTTTTTTTTTTTACTATAAATCATGTTATATGATTACTACAGAAACAGTTTTTGAACTTTGTGAATACTAATTCTTAAGCTTTATTAAAATAGATTTCATATTACTCACTGAATTTCTTTTTTCTTTTGCAACAAGGTCTTACCTTGCAGTTCAGGCTGGCCTTGAACTCACTGTGTAGCCTATGCTGGTCTCAAACTTGGAATGATCCTTCTACCTCCCAAGTACTAGGACTGCAGGTGTGTGCCACTATACCTGGCACTCATTGAATTTCTGATCAGATTTCATTTAAAGAAGTAGAAATAATTTACCCTTTAGATTCATTTGTTACTCAGATTCTTAGGCCTGTGTGAAAACTGAAGCTGCTTCTGTTTGTGAAATTCTTAAATGATCACTCATTTCTCTCTGAAGGAAAAAAAAACCCCACAAAAATACGTTGTGCCTGTGTGCGCGTGCACACACACACACACACACACACACACACACACAGCATTCAGAAAAACAGAACATAACCATAGTTAAATTTCAAGGGAGTTGAATGAGGCATTTGGGGCAAATTCATTTTGTTAAAATCATGTATAAGCTTTACCTCTTCCAATTTGAGGATCATAATTGATAGTAAAAAACTCTGCTGTTCCTAGTATCAATAATGAGGGTAAATTATCTTTGGAAATTATTCATATGCTTGCAAATGATGCTTTCAAAAAGTGAGTTACTGACTCTTATTCTACTGGGATGATAAGAATTAAGAAATAGTGAAAAGACTTGAAGTGTGATTTTTAAATCTTCAAATAATTTTTTGTGTCTTATACAAGTCACTTAACTTGTTATTGAGTTTGTGAAATAAGGTGCTTAGGCCTGAATCATTTCAGGTATATAATTCTACAAAGCTTTGGCATCTGTGATACACTTTTGAGGACAGGCAGAACCAAAGAATGCATTCACCGATACTGAGTTACAGAGAACTCAGTCATTTACATTTTGGATAATTTTGAATGTAAACAGAACTTTACAGAACACTATTTCTTTAGTGATAGAGTAGATGTGCTATTTTTTTTTTTTTGTACCAGGGATCGAACTTGGGACCTTCCAATTGCGAGGCAGGCGGTGGCACACTGAGCTAAATCCTCGGCCCTAGATGTGCTATTTTTTTTTTTTTAAGTTAGGACATATTTATTAAGCTGTACAGAAAACTTCAACTGGTAGGAAATGGGGAGCCACTGAAGGTAACTGAAACTCTTAACTCAAGTTTGCAGGTTTCCAGCAGAGAATTTGCACAAATGTGACTTTAAAGACATCTGAAAGGGAGTAGAGCTAGTTTCACATTAAAAATGTGAAATTGTTAGAATCAAAATATCTAAAGCCACTAGATGTGCTATTTTTAATATAAAAAAAGAAATAAACCAAAGCCCCAGTTAGAAACACCCATGAAAACATAAATTTAAAAAATATTTCTTATAGGGCCGGGGATTTAGTTCAGTGGTTACGCCGCCTGCCTCACAAGCGTAAGATCCCAAGTTCGATCCCTGGTACCAAAAAAAAAAAAAAGCTTAAAAAAATATTTCTTATGTAGATTATTCTCCTTTGAAATACTGGGATTGTATATGTAAACATTTGATATTCTCTAATGCTGATAACTATTTTATTGATTAATTGATTGATTTTTTTGTTTTTTTTGAGTCAAGGTCTCACTTTATAGTATAGGCTGGCCTCGAATTCATTATGTAGCCCAGGCTGACTCGAACACTCAGCAGTCCTCCTGCCTTAGCCTCTCAAGTGCTGGGATTACAGGCATGTGCCACTACGTCCAACTGCTGATAACTTTAAAAAATAAATATTTTATTATATAAGTTCAAGGTAGAGTGACTCTTTAGCTATGTCTTAAAAATGATCTGAACTAAGTGCAAGTATGTAGCTTAGTGTGTCTTAGCCACTGAAAAAGTATTTGAAAGTTGTAGACCTTCTCTCCAAGGGGTGGGAGTACATTCTCTTTGACAATTTGTCTATACACACTTATATAAGTCTCCACAGTCTTTTGGTGGAATTACAGGCTGGTGATACATGTCAGTGACATTCAGCTAGATTTGCCTTGTTTGTCTTCAGGGTGGATCTACTAGTACAGATCTTCACTTATTTAATAAAAATAACTTAAGTTTTGCTATGATTTAAAAAATTTTTCCTGCATTTAGATTCAAAGAAAATTAATTTTATGAAAATGTGTCTACTTAAAACTGGTGATGTAGCACATACATGATTGCATTGTTCCTTGGACCCCAGGTAATAATGTGAACTTTAGGTATAATGTCTGGACATTATAAATCTATATCTTTTCTCTTATAAAACATTACCAAAACCATATCTTAGAGGGAAAAAAGATTTATTGTCAGCCTAGATTGTTATGTAGGCTTAATTTATTGTTACTATATTAGAACTTGAACTTTAAAGATATTCTTAGTTTTTTTTTTTTTTTTAAGAGAGAAACTGAGAGGGTTAGGGATTTGCCAAAATCATAAACTTAATGGCACAGTAAGGATCAGGATTCAGATATTCCAGCATTCATATTTTCCCCCTCTGCCTAGTCATTCCTTACGTTTGTCTACTGTTTGTTTCCTGTCTGACAACAACATCTAGTCTGATAAATCATATTTTTCAAGAATTTATGTTTTAAAATCTTTTAAATAACCTGTAGGTTTTCTTTCAGAATTAGTGATTACAGATTTAGAATGTTAGGTTAAAGCCTACTATTCTCTAAAATTAACTTAGTAGAGCATGGTAGCACATGCCTATAATGTCAGCACTGGAGAAGCTGAGATAGGAAGATCTGTCTTAAAAAAAAACAGCCAATCAACCAACCAACCAACCAACAAAAAACAGGTTTTAAAAAAACCTTAGCACTGCTTTCCTTGAGGTTTTTTTTGTTTTTGTTTTTGTTTTTGGTACCTGGGATTGAACTTGGGACCTCTTGCTTCTGAGGCAGGTGAGGGAACCACTGAGCTAAATCCCCGGCCCTTAAATTTGTTTTTGTCTCAAATTAGAATACTAGTATAAAATATTTCTTAATGCAAAGATTATATTCATTTTTCTATAATTGTGTTCGCTATTTGGAAATGTCACTTTGGGGAGATTTATAAAATATTCTTTGACATCAAGTAATTGAAATTGCAATGATTTTTTAAATGTGTTTTCTTTGTGATCACAAAAATTATTTATTGATTCATTTTCCCCTTTAATTCTTTTTCCCCCCTGTACTGGGGATTGAACTCAGAACCTTGTGCTTGCCAGGCAGGTGTGGCACCACTGAGCTAAATCTTTGGCCCTACCACTTTAATTTTGGAATAGGGAATGTTTTTAAATTATAAGGATATACCAGGTTCAAGCAAGGTCAGTTAATTGGCAGTAATAAAACCAGTGAAGTAGAATTATTTGTGTTCTTCTTAAGCATTTTGTTACCAGAATTTTCCATCTGTTCATCTATATTTTGTAAGTAAGTTTTCCCTTCTTATAAGAAAACTATGAAGGGGACAACACTTTGGGAATCATTACTTAAAAACAACAATAGAAAAATGGAGATAAAGCTTTTGTAAATGGGAAGGGGACCAAGAGATGAAAGGAGCAGGGAGAGAGGAGAAAGGTAGGAGATGAAAAAATAATTAAAATATATTATGTACATGTACCAACTCCCCACAATAAATTTAATTATTATGTACTGCAATCATGTACTAATAAAAATTTTTTAAATGCCAGAGACATAAAAAATAAATAAATTAGAGAAAAGTAAATATTCAGAGTTGTAAATGATGTCTGGAAGTTGAGTAATATCTAACGCCAAGGCTAAGGTATTTGATCTGCATTTATATTTATATTTTTAGTATCAGTTTCAGAAGTTTTATAACAAGTGTATTTTTAAAAATTATGATATACTAACTTTATTAAAATGCTCTTCATGAAGACATATTTTATCTTAGAAAATGGCCTTAGGCATTCTTTAATTTATTGATTCAGAGCCAAGTGTTTGAAAAAGCATATGAAAAGATTTGGGGTAATTGTAATGCATGTGGTGTCCAGCTTGCTGATGATGTTTTTTCTTTTTTGCACTTTATAAAGTATTTTAAATACCAGAGTGAAGTTTAATAATAAATTCTCTATCCTAAAGGTTTCTAACATCAGCTTTCATTTTATAATGTAGAAACTTCACTGTGATCCAAGGCATTACAATATTTTACAAAACAGATCGCAGGAACTCTATAGGATGGAATGTTTCCCAGTGCTTCTATACACTCTTAAATTAGAATGAAAAATACATTAAGATTTACATGAAATTCAGTCTCTTTGGAAAGTTGAGTCAGAAAATGGGGTGGAATGGGGTTGTATGGAATGTGCTTGGGACTCTATGGTGAGAGGTAAAGTCGAAGCAGCCCTTTCATTGTAAATAGTAAGGAAATTCTGATACAGGTTATTTAGGTTATATGGTTTCCTCCCCTCCTTTTTTTTTTTTTTTTGTTGCAGGCAAAGGGGAAGATAGTGATGTACTCAGTATAAATGCAGATGCTTATGACAGCGACATAGAAGGCCCATGCAATGAAGAAGCAGCTGCTCCTGAGGCCCCAGAAAGTACAGTCCAAAGTGAAGCTGGTCAGATAGATGACCTGGAGAAAGACATTGAAAAAAGTGTAAATGAAATTCTGGGACTGGCAGAGTCTAGCCCAAAGGAACCCAAAGCAGCCACCCTGACTGTTCCTCCACCAGAAGATGTTCAACCTTCTGCACAGCAACTGGAGCTGCTAGAACTTGAGATGAGGGCAAGAGCAATTAAGGCCCTAATGAAGGCTGGTGATATAAAAAAGCCAGCCTAGTTATTTAAATTAAATTTGAATTTTTGATGTGTTCAAACAAAGCCACATCCTAAAAATTTGTATTTGAAGTTTATTTGGGTCTTATGTGGTATTTCTCATGTAACCATTATTAGGTAAACTCATATTTAGGTAAACTCATCTTAGGCCTAAAATACATTTAAAAAAAAAAACTTTTATATTATAGGTGTGTGTTTGAATTCATGGCAAATATAACTGGTTAGCCTGGATACTTTTTTAGATCATTATTTACCTATTTCTGCAAATTAATATCTTAAGAGCTATTAAGAAAGAGTTATGGTATTTTTCTTTGTTTTTAAATGTTTTGGCACCAAAAGCTTTAAGAAAGACTGACCAAGCATGTTTCTCTTAAGGCTGCTTATATTTTGCAATAGAATACTAAATTATTGCTCCTAAATTTGTTTAGAAATTTACTTTTGCGTATATGTACTTTCAAAATATCCACTGTTTTGAAGATGCCTTTTGTGGATGTGGATTTCCTAGTTAAAACTGAGTAGCAGTTTCCATTATAAGGCTTAGTGATCTGAAATGGCTGAGAAAAACTTTTTATAAAGAAAAAGAGGACTCAGTTTAAGGCAGTGCTTTACAGTGTAGAGCTAATTAATTGCTCATGTTTAATTGCAGCAGACAAGCCTTTTTAACAGGTATTTGATCCTATTGGACACTTTGTTCACTTTTTTTTCTTCAATAAAAAGGAACAAATTTCATTTACATTCCAAGCTATCAGGAAAAGGAGGATATTTTGTCATACAGGGTTTCATTGGGTGTTATTGCTTGAAGCTCTGATGTGCTATATTTGCATGAATCAAAAATAATAAAAGACTATCATTCTGGATGTGAAGACTTTTGATACTTTTCTAAGAACGAAATTAATTTCAAGAACCTTTGATAAGTTGATGTTATAATTAATCTAATTTTGTATAGATTTTATAAACAAATTAGCATGCTGCCACAATTACAGATCTCTCCCCATTACTAAGCAGTTTGATACCAAAATAAATTTAAGTAGGGTCCCTTAAATTTTTTCTAAAATGCAAATCTTGAGCTGTTTTTTATATTTGGTAACAAATATGGTATATTTTATTTAGAAGCCATACTCTACTAATGTAGTTTGAACATTTCCCTTATACACAATTTTCCGGGATTGTGTTTATTAGCTGATTTAATTGTAGTTAATTTTAAAGAGTTTTTAGATAGAAATTTCTGTTCGAGCTTGAAAGTTAATAAAACAGTACAGAATAAACTTTATCACTGCATACTAATTATTAAGTAGATGGTATTTGTGTGCTTAAACATTTAAGAGTAGAAAAGGGTCCAAGTGTTACATCAATGTTTAAAGTTACTGTCTTTATGAAGCACTGTGTATCTCTTCTGTTCAGTGTGCAAAATGGTTTGGAGGATTTTTGATTGCAGTAGGTATATATGAGAGAATAAACGGAACAAATTAGAGGCTACTTAGATTTTTGCCTTTTTAAAAAACCAATTTTTTCTCTTGTCCTTTTTAATTTTTAATGTTGAAAGATTTAAGAGCTGTCTGAAAATGAACTGACGAGAGAATAGGAATGTTTGTTTTAGAAATGCCTAAGCAATGCCCTATGAAAACACCCCTAGTGATCCGATGGTGCCATTTAAATCATCAGCTCTCAGCGACTACCTCTGAGGTTTTCAGTCCTATTCAAATCTTAAACTCGGAGATGTTATAGTGTAGACTTTAGAATGGAATAGACTGAATTTTCTAAAGTGTAAATGCAGTTCCTTTTTATGCTTGATGCTTTCCTTTTGTTAAGGAAAATGTTTAGGCAATAATTAGTAATTAAAACAAAAAAATGGCAAGTGAATTTTCCATTTAATGTAAAATAATCCTAATTGACTAGGAACTTCACTCAGATCTTGAATGTTGGTTGGCAACGGATGTCCTCTGCATTGGTGAGCAGTTGTTAACAGCACTAAACCTTGGCCCACTTTCAGATATTTCTACATATTCAGATATATCCCAAAACCTGTCAATGAAAAATAACCCAAGCCCTCAAATCTTTTTGTTGAACACCACCAATTCCTTAAGACTATGAGGTAGTATATCCTTTCCGTATAAATCTTTTTGCCAAAACCTATTTTCAGTAAAATGTTAGAACCTGCATGAACCTGGGTGGCATTCTTAATCATTTGAACACTAATACATAATGCAGTAAAATGTGTGCTTTTCAATGACATTTCAAGTAGATAGAGGAAAGATGAACCTGCAGTTTGGGCCAGATTATTTGGCAGCCTCAGTTCTAGTCTATCATAAAAGGTAGGAGAAGAGAATTTGGCTTTAGATACCTCTCATTGATTGTATAATTCTTAAAAAGTAAATTTAACAAAATTTCACCTTAGTTATTTTTAAAGTGCCAGTGAGTGTACCAGTAGGAACTAGATATATTTCTTTGGTATTTGTAATTATTTTAAGATGCTTTGTGATACAATGAAAAGAATGTGAAAGTTAAGAGCAGACGTTTCTGACTGCTCTAACCAGCTGTGCAACCTTGTACAAGTAACTAAAATGAAGCAAACTGTCAGCCAAATACTTGATTATCTTTCAGCTGTACTAGTCTGATTCTAATACAGAATACTATAAAATTTATTAAACATAAGAGTCTTGAGTTCACATATTTATCTCCTCCATTTCCCTCCCCCTGAACTCTAAATGAAATAATCTATTTAGTCTCTCTTTTGTCTCTTGCTGTTCTGGTTATGAACAGTAGTCTAGGTACTGTTTCTTTTTCCTTATACCTATTACAGTCTTCATCATCAGCATCTCTTGGTAAGTATACCACTTAGAATTACTCACTTTGGACTTCAAACTTACTGTTTTATTTCAGAATAATATAACCCCCCTCCCCCCTGGCCCTGGTACTAGGGATTGAACCTAGGGCCTTCAAACTGAGTTACATTTCCAGCCCTTTTTTAAATCTTTTATTTTGAGACAAGGTCTCACAAAGTTACTAAATTGCCTGGGCTGGGCTTGAACTTGAAATCCTCCTGTCTCAAGTTCTCAAGAGTGCTGGGATAACAGGAATGTTTATCTGTGCCAGGCTAATATGTAAATAATTTTAAGTCAAGCCCCCCATCTTATAATGAAAAATAACACTTTCCTGCCCATTTTATAGCCATTAACAGCATTAGCTGCAGATTGTTTTGATTCTTTGGGTGACTCAGCATGGCCCAGTTCTGTCCATACACTTTTGAAGCTTTCTGAGTGTAGATGTCTAGACTCAAAATCATCAGCAGCATTACACCAATGACTTCCAACTTCCATTGAGGCTGTTGAGAATTTGTTTGTCATTCTGATTTTTAATACTTAATGTATGTCTTGTTTACTTCTCTTTGGAAGCTGTCAGGTTCTGATCTTAATCCCTGCTACTAAGAAATTTCTTGATGATATGTGGGTATAGATTTTTTTCACCTGTTAAGTTTATCATTGTGGACTCTTAGTGGGGAAATAATGTCATTCACTTCTAGAAGTTTTTAAGTATTACTTCTTGGGTTACGTTTTCTCCCTCTAGTTTTTCTCTAATCTATATTTCAGGTAATCCTTCTATTCAGCTCTATCTTAGGCCTGAGTTTTAAAATTTTTTACTTCTACTTTCTGTATTTTCTAGTTTTTCATATATTTTCTCAATTGTTTCTTCTAGTTCTCCCTATAGTTTTCTTTAAAATATCGTATCATTTTTAATATACAAAAGATTTTTTTTTACTATTTTTATTTTCTGAATATTCTTTTTGCAGTGGCATTTATTACAAGGGCTGCAAATGTGGTTTAGTGGTAGAGTGCTTGCCTACCATGTGCAAGGCCCTGGGTTTGATTCACAATATTGCCAAAAAAAAAGATACTTGTGTCTGTAGGGCAATGGCTTCGGTGTGGTATCCTGGTGACCTTGCTCATGTCTTGTGAGGCCAGGCAGGCTGAATGACTTGAACCTCAGACTGACCTAAATCTTGGAGGATTTAGGATACTGTGATTCTTACAGGCTATGGCAGTCTTGTAAGGTGCACTTACGTGATCATTTTCTCATCCGCCTTTTTTCTGGGTGGCTTCCTATCTTGTAGGAGGATATCTTAAGGCAGTTTTCTCACCTCCTTCCTTGGTTGCTTTGAGACCAGAGATTTTCTACCTTTACACCCTTAGGGTACAGCTTCATACTATCAAATTGCTTAGCTGCAGCATAGCGTTAACTTCATAGCAACAGGATGTCCCATGGCTCCTGTTATATTGTCATCTGGTCCCTTTTGTGTTGCTGTCATCCAGCACACAAAGGCCATAGAGACCTGACATCTTTGACTACTATTTTCTCACTATCTGTAAGTAATAAGCTGTCTGAATCTAAAAAGATCTCTCATTTCTTTTCTGGCTGAATCTGCTGGTACTTGCTTGGCTCTTGCCTTGGCTTTATGCTCGACTTGTGGATGAAACATTTACCTCTCTGAGGATATTAAGTTTAGTGATTGTTGTAATGTGTATCTTGTCCTCTTATTTCCTTCAGATTAATTTTTTTTTGTTTATTTTGTATTCATGATGTTTTCTCAGATTTCCTTAAATCTTTGCTGATACTTATTGATAATTGCTAATTGGAAGCTCTTTGTTTTTGGCTGGGGCTAATTAGTTGGTACAATTCTTTTTTTTCTTAGGCTGGACTTTCAGTACCCGTTTTTGGTAGGCTAGCCCTACTTTTAATTCTGCTTGGTATATCTGAGTTTAGAATCTCATGCTTGCACTTTGCCAGAGTCTTTGGTGGAGCTGATGAACGAATGCGGCTTACTGCCTGCTCGTGAAGAGACCAAATTTCATACTGTATATCTCTTGTACTGTGGAAGAACTTGGGATCTCTATTACTGAGACTTACTTAGGTTTGTGTTTAGAATCAAGTTACTTCTTAGTTTCATTTCTCAATAGGCTCTTAGATTATAACTTTCTTCATCTACTAAGTCACTTTCATTTATTTTACTCCAGCTTCCAAAGTTTTTTTGATCCATCTCTTTTATTGTCCAAAATAGATGAACCCTCTTAACCATTCTAGTGAGCTTTCCTGGGGAGTCATGGCAAATGTGTTCGTTAGTATGCTATGTTTAAATAGCTGTAGCTTGTTTTTTAACCTACTTTTCATTGTGTCAATTTTTTTTTTTGTACTGGGTATCGAACTCGGGACCTTGCGCTTAGCGAGGCAGGCGCTGGAACCACTGAGCTAAATCCCCGGGCCTCGTTGTGTCAGTCTTAATTCTTTTGTAAATACTAGTGTAGTGAGGGTAATGCAGCATCTTAATTGACGTACAGGTGGAAAGGATGAAAGAGTAGACAAGTATGACAGCAGTTAAGAGTCAGTGATACCCAATAAGGGCAATGGCCCTGTTGCTTCTAGGAGTTGTGTGTTTTTCTTTCCTTTTTCACTCAAAGTGGTTTGTTTTGTTTTGTTTTTGCTTTGCTGTGTAGGTCGGGCTGTCCTCAAACTCATAGCAATTCTCCTGCCTCAATCTCCTGAGGCCTGGGGTTGCAGGCATGCAGCACCATGCCCTGTGACTCAAGTGATTTCTATTAGTGTCTCTTGGTATCAGTTGTTAATGTAAAAATTACCAGATATGAATTGTGCTCCTTAATTATGTAATTCTGTAACCTTTTTTGTTTTGTTTTAAGTTGAAGACCATTTTATTGAATTACTATTGTAGTGTTTGTCCTTGGTTTGGTTTTCTTCTGGATTTCCTGTTACTTGCATTATATCTCCTTTGCCTGTTTTCAGTGTTATGTTACTTTCTTACACTTTTTAAAATTTTCATTTTGAGTTGAAAATGTTTCTGTTCTCACCCATTTCGGGCATCATTTGTTGTGTTTACTCTTATGTCTCTTCTAGTTTAGTTTTGATATCTGATTTTATTTATGTCTCTTCTAGTTTTGATTTCTGATTTTACTTTTGTTTCTATTTTTTCTCTGAATTGTCACCTCATATCTAATTCTGGTTTATGTTCTTTTATGGCTATTATCATTTTCTTTTTTTTTTTTTGGTACTGGGGATCGAACTCGGGTCCTTGCGCTTGCGCAGCAGGCAGTGAAACCACTGAGCTAAATTCTCGGCTATTATCATTTTCTTAAATGACTCATCTCATTGTAAAATACAGGGTAATAGTCTTAATATGTTTTGTGGGTCTTTATAGTGTACTTTTATTGTCCATATGGATGTCATTCTGCTCTTTTTAAAATTACATAGGATTTGACTTAATATTTTTGTTTCTCATTTTTATGTCAAGTTTTTCTTTTGGACTTTTAAAAGGAACCTGGCTCAGGTTAGCTTTTCTACTTTTATGGATTTTTTTGTCTCTTTGTTCTCTGGTGTTCTAAATTAAGGCAGCTTGTTTTCTGAGAATTGCTCTGTTTTCTTCCTCCATTTTGACCTGAATTTCTCTATTCTTTTGTTTCTCTCTATCCTGTTTTTTTTTTTTTGATACTGGGGATCACACTCGTGACCTTGTGCTTGAGGCAGGCGGCAGAACCACTGAGCTAAATCCCCAGCCGTCTCTGTCCTGTTTTGATTCTACAATGAGTTGATTCTCCTTACTGTGAGATCTGTCCTAACAGTTCTGGCTGGTCAGATGAAGGAAGTCTTACATGCTACACCGATCCAGCTACTTTCAGATCTTTTTATAATTTATATTCCATTTATTGCCCCTCCTAGTTTCAGCTGCTATCTCACATTGGCTTTCCATGATTTCCACTTATTTTGAATTCTCCTGTTATCAGGGCTCTTAGATGCCCAAGTGGCTTCTTCTTGCTCTTTTCTATAGAAGTGCTGATGTTACAGTCTTATAACTTGTTTGGAATTTGTGGGGATACTTAGTTTTAAATGTCTTGGGGTTTCTATTGCTTTGTTTTATATGGGACTTTGAAGACATTTAAAAATCCTGTTTGCTGTTGTCTTCCCACGATATTATGTTTTCATTTAAAAATACTTAGTTATCTTTGTATACAGATAATGCAGTGTTTTACATCCAGGAGAACTAATTTATATGTAAAATATATTACTGAATTATTTTCACAATTTTCTTAAAATTATTTTAATTTTTATAAATTTTTAGATATTTTAATTTTAAAACCAAGTCCTGTTAATCTTACTCAATAGAAGAGTTGTTAGAAGATAAAGCAAATTAGTTCTGCTCCTTAATAGCAAAGGAATTTAGTTTTATTTGGTATATTTTTATAATAATAGCTATTATCAGTTGAAAGATCTTTTAAAATCAAAGTATAATTTTTATTAAACTAAAAGCATACAGTATTCAGTTTCAAAAGCACTAATATTTTAACGTCCTTTTAAAATTTCTTATTGTGCCACTTATAAAAGATGGTTTCTTTTCAACAGTTTATATATATATATTCATTATTCTTCTGTTTTACCATATCTTCATATCTTCTCCATGGAGAACATATTTTTCTCAAAGTTCAAAAAAGAACTAGAAGTTCTGGTAATTTACCCTCCCCATACATTTGACATGAGATGTAAAAAAAGTTCTATTTCTAGTGTGATACTTAAAATCACCAAACTGATAGAGATTTGACATTATTGCCTATCATATTTATTAGTCTATTGCAACATAGTCAAGAACAACTAAAAACCAAACCAAAAAGCCTCTCTGCCCAAAAAGAGATTCTGCAAGAATTGGAAAACATAAAGTTTTTATTTCTGTTAGGGAAAAAGATAAGTAGTTGAAGTCGTTGATTGCAGTAAAACAATTGTTTCGGTGTTAAACATCTGTGTAATGGAATTTTGTGGGATTTTTCTATCACTAAACATGGAAGAAGGAAATATAATATGAACATTAAGATAGCAAATTAAAATCTGATTATGAGGTCCTTTGACGTATTCATTACTATATAAACCTTTATGTTT